GATGTCCATGTAGAGAGACAAAGAGACACCAGTATTGAGCAGGGCTATGGCTCTAAGAGAAAGGTAAGTTTTGACTACAGTAAAGTGAGGCAGGTATTTAATTGTTGCTCAATTGAGCCCCCTCCTTTTGTTTATAGTTTTCCTGCATGTTGGAGGGCAGGCAATTCAGGTAAGAGTCCATTCAGTAGTGTTAAGATGACCATTCAGCAGCAAAACACGATGAAAACTGCATGCATTAATGTCTCCACCCGAAACCACCTTCCTTGACGCGTTTCATCACTCAGACTTCCTCTATCCTTGTGAGCAAGCCAGCAGTGTTGAAAGGCGTAGAGGAAGGTGGTTTTCAGGTGGAGACATTATTGTATGCAGTTTCCAACTTTTGAGGAATTAAATAGAAAGAAGAGACAATTTTTGGAGCGCAGCTTTATATTTACTTTTGACAGAGTGGAAACGAGCCAGCACCTGGGTCATCCATGTGGTTTAAAAGCAGCATGTCTGGAGCTGTGATAGCCAGCACCTGGGTTGTCCGTGTCGATTGAAAGGAGCAAGTGTGGAGCACAGCCATGGGTTTGGGTATATTTCTGGCTAAACACGATACTATCTCTTACAGTAATATTTCAGAATTGCTGTTCATAAGAAACTCTAACCTGTAGAACATCAAGTGGGTCCCCAGTATGTAATTTATTTGCATCGACCTAAAGTGGAGGCCCGGTCTAAACCTTTCTAACCTTAAACCTGTTCCCACCCCCGTTCTAAGTCCTATACTAACTAGCCTGTAGAGGAAAGTGTAGACTTACTGATTCACAGGTCACTCCGGTCAAGTGATCGGCTCCCAGTGCCAGCTTCAGGGGAGATGATGGACAGCCGACAACAGATGCCCTGTAGTAAGCCTATGGCAGACATTGTTGACGATCTCTCCTCTCCCCTGAAGCAGGTGCTGGGAGTCAATCACCGGACCAGACCTAAACCTGCTCCCACCCCCATTCTAAGTCTTATACTAACTAGCCTGTAGAGGAAAGAAGTGTAGACTTACTGATTCACAGGGCACTCCAGTCAAGTGATCGGCTCCCAGTGCCAGCTTCAGGGGAGAGGATGGACAGCCGACAACAGATGCCTATGGGTGATGTCAGCTCCCAGACACTGCAGCCGTTGTTGGCGTTCTCCCCCTGAAGTAGTCACAGTTGATCACCGGACTGGACCTAAACCTGCTCCCACCCCCATTCTAAGTCCTATACTAACTAGCCTACGGAGAAAAGATGTCTATACCTACCTATTCTATGGGCGCTCCGGTCCGGTCACGTGATCGGCTCCCTGCGCTGACTTCAGGGGAGAGGAGAGATCGTCACAACAATGGCTGCAGTGCCTAGGGGCTGATGTCACCCATAGGCTTACTAGGGGCATCTGTTGTCAGCTGTCCATCCTATTCCCTGAATCCAGCACTGGGAGTCAATCACTTGACTGGACCGGAGAGCCGTGTGAATCAGTAAGTATAGACATCTTTCCTCTGCAGCACTGGGTCATCAAACTTTTCAAACAAAGGGCCAGTATACTGTCCTTCAGACTTTAGGAGGGCCAGGTTAGGGCCAGTGAGGATAGAAAATGTCCTGGTCGTAGCATCAGTGAGAATAAACATGGCCTCAGGGTTGATGGTCAGTAGGAGGAGTAGTGCTCCATCATTGGTATAAGTGGGAAGAATAGTACACCATCAATCATCGGTTTCATGGGAAGAAGTACTGCCCCATTGTTGGTCTCAGTGAAAGGAATAGTGCTCCAAGGGCCAGATAAAAAAGGTAGCAAAGGGCCACATCCAGCCCTCGAACCGCAGTTTGGAGACCCCTGCTCTACAGGCTAGTTAGTATAGGACTTTGAATGGAGGTAGGGACAGGTTTAGGATTACATTAGGTTTAGAATGGACCTCCACTGTTTGAAAACAGCATGCCCAAGGCTGGGATACCCCCCATACACTATAACAGGCACTTCACCAAATACTCATTTTTATTGTTTTGGAGTTAAGAAAATAAAAACAACTCTGAGTATTTTCCAAGCGGCAATTCCTAGGCCTGCAAACCTGTGGTGGCTATTACAAAGTTGACCTTACATTATGGCAGGAATGGTGCCAGAAGCAGATTTGTGACTTTGGCTAACAGACTCTGCAACTGGTGGACTGACCTTGTTCTTTAGCTTCCTAGTTACATTGGCACATACATCTCCCAGCTCTCTTTCTTGCACATACAGAAAAAGAAGCAACTTAGAGATGGCTTCAGTAAGGCCTACTGGAGTTCTAACATGGCCATATAGCAAGTAGCTTGCCATAATTAGAAAGAAAAGTCTAAATACTTCAGGCCCCAAACCCTTGCTTGTGTCAGTCAGTTACTCCTAGAAACCATGCAAAGTGTCCCTAAAATTGCATATGCTCAACCCCGGGCCCTATCATTGCTGACACAAGCGTGAGGGTGGGGTAGACATGGCCCAGCTGCCATAAAACCTGTGATTAGCAATGGCATTGCAATTTCCCCTGTGACTGATTGGCTAACAAGTGGTCTATGCCCTCTCTCCCAACACTTTGTCTGGCCAAACTTTTTAAATGACGGCAGGCTCTTGCTGATATTGTGACGCCTGATGCTCTATTGGATCAGTTACCCAAAAAGAAGAGGTTTACGGTCACACACCTGACACATATTAGAAGATTTTCTCATTTGCATCAACCACAAGGTTACAGAACAAATGGAACATGAACTAGTCAATACTTTCTTTCCTCTTTGAGCTATTGCTAATATACCGGACCAATGCAAATTTCTCTGTCGACGCACTGTAATTTGTTGCCCATCAGCAGGAGTAGCCAACACCACCCCATGGGCAAGCATGCGGATTTGACAACTTGACATGGAAAACTTGTCAAGAGACAGCTTGCAGCCCTTTGAAGAGACAACTTAGCAGAATGCAAGAGATGTCCACACCTCTATGAGGAGTATTTGAAGACACAAGGCTGTCTTATTGGCCCAAGACTTGCATTATCTATATTTTGTCAGTTGTCCCTAGAATACAGGTGCTTCCAACCAAAGATGAATTAAGGCAGAATAGGACCCTAGGCAAGGTAGCAGCTTTGGCCTTCCCATCTCAACAGAGATTGATAAGGATTGCAATACACAGACAAACTTCCCCATCTACACTGTCTTCTCCAGGCATGGTCCCTCACTATCACACACAAACGGCCTACAACTGCACTCCTTGTAAAGTAGCAAACAAGTGATGTTCTCCAGTTGCACAAACCCTCTAGTTTCCTGAAGGTGGTAACTGGACCCCCGGACATCTACCAGGCCCTAGGTGTCTTGAAAGTGCTAACTGGGCCCATGGACATCTACCAAGCCCTAGGTGAGCTGAAGGTGGTAACTGGGCCCCTGGACATCTACCAGGTCCTAGGCATGCTGAAGGTGGTAACTGGGCCCCTGGACAGCTACCAAACCCTAGGTGTCTTGAAGGTTGTAACTGGGCCCCTGGACAGCTACCAGGCCAGAGGCGTCCTGAAGGTGGTAACTGGGCCCCTGGACAGCTACCAGGCCCTAGGCATGCTGAGGGTGGTAACTGGCCTTTGGACATCAACCAGGCCCTAGGTGTCCTGAAGGTGATAACTGGGCCCCTGGACAGCTACTATGCCCTAGGCCTCCTGAAGGTGGTAACTCGGCCCCTGGACAGCTACCAGGCCCTAGGCATCCTGAAGGTGATAACTGGACCCCTGAACAGTTACCAGGCCCTAGACATGCTGAAGGTGGTAATTGGGCCCCTGGACATCTACCAGGCCCCAGGCGTCCTGAAGGTGGTAACTGGGCCCCTGGACATCTACCAGGCCCTAGGCGTCCTGAAGGTGGTAACTGGACCCCTGGACATCTACCAGGCCCTAGGCATGCTGAAGGTGGTAACTGGGCCCCTGGACAGCTACCAGGCCCTAGACATGCTGAAAGTGGTAACTAGGACCCTGGACATCTACTAGGCCCTAGGTGTCCTGAAGGTGGTACCTGAACCCCTAGACAGCTACCAGGCCCTAGGCGTCCTGAAGGTAATAACTGGGCCCCTGGACAGCTACCAGGCCCTAGATGCCTGAAGGTGGTAACTGGGCCCCTGGACAGCTACCAGGCCTAGGCATCCTGAAGGTGGTAACTGGGCCCCTGGACATCTACCAGGCTCTAGGTGTCCTGAATGTGGTAACTGGGCCCCTGGACAGCTACCAGGTCTTGGGTGTGCTGAAGGTGGTAACTGGGCCCCTGGACAGCTACCAGGCCCTAGGCGTCCTGAAGGTGGTAACTGGGCCCCTGGACAGCTACCAGGCCCTAGGCATCCTAAAGTTGGTAACTGGGCTCCTGGACAGCTACCAGGCCCTAGGCAACCTGAAGGAGGTAACTAGCCCCTGGATATCTACCAGGCCCTAGGCATCCTGAAGGTGGTAACTGGGTCCCTGGACAGCTACCGGGCCCTAGGCATCCTGAAGGTGGTAACTGTGCCCCTGGACATCTACAAAGCCCTAGCCTTCTAACTAGGGTGCTTTGTGAATGCTCCTGCTCTGCTCCCACCCAATCAGCTAAACTGTACCATTGCTGTCTAGACCTCCTCTATGGCCACCAATTGGCTTTCCAATTGACATTCAGTTTCCCCCGGCATGCACATTGAACTCATTCAGCAAATGCCTTTAGAGTGTCCCTTACCCACCCATCACACATGAGACTCCAAGTGCTTCATTAGATAACCCTTCAGCACAAAACATTCCCCACATTTTGTACATTTATAGGGTTTCTCTTCTGAATGTTGCTGTTCATGAGCCATAAGACTTGTAAGATCAGAAAAGCTCTGACTGCACTGGGAACACGAATGCGGTCCATCTGCTTCCTGAGCATTTTGATTGGCAAATGGACTTGATGGTTGGTCTTCTGACTGATGGTAAAGCTCACCAGTAGCAATTTCCTGCTGTGGCTCAGAGAAACTTTTTGTCTGACTTATCTGGTGAGTTCTTATGTGTAGATAAAGAACAGATGGATCTTCAAAGCTTTTCCCACACTCCGGACACAAAAACAACTGGGGTGTTTCCTGGTTTTGACTGGAAAACAAATGTGGAGGGTAGCTTTTCGCTCCCGCAACTTGTGACAGCTGAGCAAAATGAGTCCGGTGATGCAAAGCAAAGGCTGCGACGTCCAGGAAGACCTGGTCACATTGTGGACAGTTGAAGACCTTCTCCTCGGCATGGACGCTCTTGTGGTGCTCAAGACGCGTCCGGTTGTGAAAACACTTCCCACACTGGAGGCATTTGTATGGCTGCTCACCAGTATGCGTTCTTTGGTGGACCACGAGTCCTGATCGGTCTCTGAACCGTTTCCCACAGTCATCGCAAGAATATGGCTTCTCCCCCGTGTGAATCCTCTGATGTATGACCAAGCCCGAGCGGTCAGTGAACCGTCTGTTGCATTCCGAGCAAGAAAATGGTTTCTCCCCGGTATGAACACGCTGGTGCCTGTCGAGGTGGCAGCGGCTTGGGAAGCATTTCCCACATTCGGGGCACGAAAATGATCTCTTCCGTGTGTAGCCGCTGTAGGGAAAGCATTTGTTGGCCCCTTCGGAGGAGGGAATCCGCTTTCCCCCGTTGTGAATTTTTTTATGGTTACTAAGATGTCCTTTCCTGCTGAAGCTTTTACCACAAACAGGACACACAAAAGCCTTCTCTTGACGGTGAACTTTTTGATGCTCCTCAAAGGCGGAGCTGTTGACAAAAGTCAACCCGCATTCCGAACATACAATAAGGCCCTCCCCGGAGGAATGCTCTCTCATAGGCGCTCGAAGCTTAGCGTGAACCATCTGATGCGCAATGACATTTGCGCGATCAGCAAACTGTTTACCACATTCGGGGCAAGCGAACGGTTTTTTTCTGTGGCGTGCAGGCGATGGTGCTCCACCAGCTGTGAATTTTTGTGAAAACAATCGCCACATTCATTACACACAAATGGTTTCTCTCCATTAAAACTCGTCTCCTGCAGCTTAAACACAATCACGTCATTGAAAGAGGATTGAGCAAACCTTGGATCTTCATAAGGGTCTGCTAGGCCTTGAACATCCTCATCTGTTTCCACATCTTCGTACTCCGCAACGGCATGGTCTGGGGACACCTTAATGTTGTTCTCCATCAGATTCATGTGATTAAAAGGGTCGGTTTTACCGAGTAACTTGTTTTTAACCAGGGTTGGGCACATATCGGCATCAACGACATTTTGACTCTCTTCTAACTCAGATTTACTATTTTGGTTCGTAGATTCTGTTTTTGGATATAAATTCAAGTCTGCTAATTTTTCCTCAATACAGTTTTGGTCAATCTCTTCTGCAGCCTTAAATGTGACATTGTTGAGCAACAACGACTCTTCTCTTGATTGAAAAGATGCCGGTTCCTTAACACAAGTATTACTTCTCTCCCTGGTCGGGGAATTGGAATCCCCCAAGGCTAGAGGTAGGCTTTGGCCTTGCGATGCATTCTTCCTATGCCTATAAACTCTTTCCAGACAGTCCACTATAGGGGCTATATCTTTACCAACACCCTGGAAATTTTCAAAGCGGAAAGCCTTGGAAGAGCCTTTGTCAAGTCCTCCATTTTCTGATAACATAATATCAGCATGGCCTCTGTCTGGTTTTTCATTCCCTGTGGGAAAGACAGAAAGCTAAAGATTATTATGTTGCAATTAAAACATCAATGCCTACATGAGAAAAGGGCAAAAATAAAACCAGCAGCTAGCAAGAAGTGTGTGCGTGGGTGTAAGGTACGAAAAAAATAGCTGCTCAGCCGAGTAATCATCAGGAGTAGGACAAACCAACAAAACCCGTGCACTGGCTCAAGCATCTCTGTGCTCCAACAAAAAATTAAGCCGGAATCCAGGTGTCATCCACAAATATGAATGCTTTATTGATTATATCACAGGTGTGAAAATGACTGCCCTCCAGCTGTTTGCCAAACTACAAGTCCCATGAGGCAATCCAAGATTGACAGTTACAAGCATGACTCCCAAAGGCAGAGGCATGATGGGACTTGTAGTTTACAACAGCTGGAGGGCCGCCAGTTTGACAACGCTGGACTATATCGTGGATATACAGTGTGGACAGCTGACGTGTTTCAGGTAAAATGTGTTGGCCTTCCTTGCTGTGTACATGTACCATGTAGACCAGGGGTCTCCAAACTTTTCAAGAAAGAGCCAGTATACTATACGGTTCTTCAGACTTTAGGAGAGCCGGATTAAGGCCAGTGAGGATAGAAAATGTCCTGGCCCCAGCATCAGTGAGAATAAACATGGCCTCAGAGTTGTTGGTCAGTAGGAGTGCCCCATCATTGGTATCAGTGGGAGGAATAGTACACCATCATTGGTATCAGTGGGAGGAATAGTGCCCCATCATTGGTATCAGTGGGTGGAATAGTGCCACATCATTGGTATCAGTGGGAAGAATAGTGCCCCATCATTGGTATCAGTGGGAAGAATAGTGCCCCATCATTGGTATCAGTGGGAAGAATAGTGCCCCATCATTGGTATCAGTGGAAGGAATAGTGCCCCATCATTGGTATCAGTGGGAGGAATAGTGCCCCATCATTGGTATCAGTGGGAGGAATAGTGCCCCATCATTGGTATCAGTGGGAAGAATATTGCCCCATCATTGGTATCAGTGGGAGGAATAGTGCCCCATCATTGGTATCAGTGAGAGGAATAGTGCCCCATCATTGGTATCAGTGGAGGAATAGTGCCCCATCATTGGTATCAGTGGGAGGAATAGTGCCCCATCATTGGTATCAGTGGGAGGAGGTATAGTGCCCCATCATTGGTGTCAGTGGGAGGAATAGTGCCCCATCATTGGTATCAGTGGGAGGAATAGTGCCCCATCATTGGTATCAGTGGAAGGAATAGTGCCCCATCATTGGCATCAGTGGGAGGAATAGTGCCCCATCATTGGTATCAGTGGGAGGTATAGTGCCCCACCATTGGCATTAGTGGGAGGAAGATTGCCCCATCATTGGTATCAGTGGGAGGAATAGTGCCCCATCATTGGTTTCATGGGAAGAAGTACTGCCCCATTGTTGGTATCAGTGGGAGGAATAGTGCCCAGATAAAGGGTAACAAAGGGCCACATCTGGCCCTCGGGCTGCAGATTGGAGACCCCTGATGTAGACAATGTGCATGTAAGCCTTTATTGGCTGGAGTACCATAGAACTGTAGCCTCCTCTATCCAAACCGAGACCTACTAGGTCTGTAGGTTATTAGTACCTACTTACTGGAGCTTCACAGTCTACTTAAAGGCTCAGTCAAGAAAAAACTGAAAATGCAGTTAGAGGTGGAGCCTTGTGGTCAGAGTCATCCCCTAGCGGTCTTAGATACTGTGGGATCTTCTTGCCGTAATTCCCACCTCCGTTCCTTTTCACCTGGGAGTTAGGAGTGTTTCCACCCACCTTTGTGTGTTACAGCTCCTTCTTTACCTTTTCCAGAACAAAAGATATATAAAATCCAGCAGGGATGGCGGAAGCCCCTCATAATGGATGCAGCAAGTGTGTAGACCCAAAAACTCAGCACTGAGAGCACACCAATAGATCAAATGCTACTGCATAGGGATTTAGAAGTGTCAAATATTGTACAAATTTCAACCCGCAATTTGTGATACACAACAAAAACGATCAGTCATAGAGGAAAAGCAAGCAGCTAATGTCTTCTAATTCACATATATGGCCTCCACTTACCCTTTTTTCTAGGAGTCTCTTCATCCTCCATCATGACGTCCTCATAGACGTCCTTGTGTCCTTCTAGATACTCCCACTCCTCCATGGAGAAATAGACAGTGACATCCTGACACCTTATAGGAACCTGACACACACAATGATACAGTCATCATCCAGACACATCCCTTGTCTGTTACTGGAGAATGTCCCAGAATTCCCGGCACCGCTCACCTCATCCGTCAGCAGCTCCATGATCTTCTGGGTGACTTCCAGAATCTTTTTGTTTCTCTCAGGTCTCAGGGAGGGGGGTGGAGGCTCCATAATGGGACTTTGACTTCTGCTCCATTCTGACACGCTGGTAAGGCTGCTAGGTGTCGTATGCCGATTGGATGACTTCTGTACAGGTCCATAGTCCTGAAGAATAATGTCAGTATTATATCTCAAAATGCTCTGCAGGTGATGTCATATGACCTCCCAGAATCCTCCTCACCTCTCCGGTCAGGTCCGTGTTTTATTAATAGAGATAAGAGTGATGTCATGTGACCTCCCAGAATCCTCCTCACCTCTCCGGTCAGGTCTGTGTTTTATTAATAGGCAAATAAAGGAAGGATAGTGCTGCGCTAAAATACCAATAAAAACTTTAAGAATGAAAATTCATGTGTTGTGTACAGCTATATGCTGACAAGCCCCTCAATTAGTATGAAGAGTGCTGATAAGTTAAAGGTAGATGTGACAGTTCTGTTATGAACTCCAGTGAGGTATCCAGTGAGAAAATTATAAGACTGCCCACTAACCAGAAGCGCAATCTTAATGCTCATATAGAAATCCAAAAACTGCCGGGAGTCTTATAGGGGTACAGCCAGGTGGAGTGATGATGTCCTCCAGGGGGTCCCTCTGTTGGGTGGTTAGTACAGGTCTGGTCTATCACTTCCTTCCTCTGGTCCAAATGGATCGCCTGGGGTCCTGGGCTGGGGTTAAATGCTCAATGCAGAGCAACAAATGTATGGATACCCAGAGTGTAGTAAGTCAAGTATTTATTGAGCATAAAAAGTATAGGTGATGTACATACATAAGTATATCTAAGCACAGGGTGACTGTGGGTATAGGCAGAAGCGCAGCAAGAAAACTGCTGAATACACTGACCAGTATATAAATAGTGGGGGCTGCCGGACCTCCTTGATCCGGCAGCGTGACGTCAAGGCGTGCAAGGGCTCCTCCTAGACGTGTTTCGTATAACCATACGTCTGCTGTAGGGGTGATGCCGTGGCCCCCTGACGTCTTATGATTCTACCTATAGGCAGATGCGCGCGTAAATGAGCGTGCGCCATCTTGCTTGAGATTCGCGCCACTGCGCATGCGCCATATTATTGGAGATCGTAGACATGGCCGGCGCGCATAGACCTGCGCATGCACGAGTGTCGTGATCGCCATTTTACTGAGATGAAAATTGTGTGCGGACATAGGCACAAGCAGTTACAACAAAGCAAGTGAACATATAAAGTAAAACTCTACACTTCTCCTGTATGCAGTCTATACATAATGAAGGCAGGTTATATTAATAAAAATTGACATTGACATATATATATATGCATCAGCCCAAATGACTGGTGAATAATACCTCATACAAAAGTAAAAACTGAGTCCAATATAGGTAAATAAATGCTGACATATGCTAATTTACTAAACCTTCTGAGAAATGGTATCAGTAGTATAAAACAGCATAAAAGATATATGAAAGTCCTAGTAATATATATATACCACAATATAAATGTAAAATTTAAAAATTATTTTCACAATATAAAAAATTGTACATAAATTATACACATGAATACATAAAATAAATATTCTTAGACATAAGAATGGTACAACCAGGCTGCTGTACCCATCGTAGAGGTGGTACTTATGAAATAAATGGTGTTCATAATGTGTAAACCATCATAATATATAGAGTTGACCATTGACAATTTCAACTGTTATCAATAAAACAATTTACAGTGAGGAACAGAAGTATTTGAACACCCTGCGATTTTGCAAGTTCTCCCACTTAGAAATCATGGAGGGGTCTGAAATTCACATTGTAGGTGCATTCCCACTCTGAGAGACAGAATTTAAAAAAATTTCAGAAAATCACATTGTATGATTTTTAAATAATTTATTTGTCTTGCACTGCTGAACATAAGTATTTGAACACCTAAGAAACAGCAAGAATTCTGGCTCTCAAAGACCTATTACTGTGCCTTTAAAAAGTCCACCTCTACTCCACTCATTAATCTAACTTAGTAGCACCTGTCTGAGCTCTTTAAAGACACCTGTCCACCCCACAGTCAGTCAGACGCCAACTACTACTATGGGCAAGACCAAAGAGCTGTCAAAAGAAACCAGAGACAAAATTGTGGATCTCCACAAGGCTGGAAAGGGCTACGGGGCAATTGCCAAGCAGCTTGGTGAAAATAGATCAACTGTTGGAGCAATTGTTAGAAAATGGAAGAGGCTAAAGACAACTGTCAGTCTCCCTCGGACTGGGGCTCCATGCAAGATCTCACCTCGTGGGGTATCACTGATGATAAGAAAGGTGAGGAATCAGCCCAGAACTACAAGGGAGGAGCTGGTCAATGACATGAAGAGAGCTGGGACCACTGTTTCAAAGGTCACTGTCGGTAGAACACTACGCCGTTATGGTTTCAAATCATGCATTGCACGGAAGGTTCCCATGCTCAAGTCATCACATGTCCAGGCCCGTCTGAAGTTTGCCAACGACCATCTAGATGATCCAGAAGAGGCATGGGAGAAAGTCATGTGGTCAGATGAGACCAAAGTAGAACTTTTTGGTCTAAACTTCACTCGTCGTGTTTGGAGGAAAAAGAAGGATGAGTTGCATCCCAAGAACACTGTCCCTACTGTGAAGCATGGGGGTGCTAACATCATGCTTTGGGGGTGCTTTTCTGCGAAGGAGACAGGACGACTGCACTGTATTAAGGATAGGATGAATGGGGCCATTTATTGTGAGATTTTGAGCAACAACCTCCTTCCCTCAGTCAGAGCATTGAAGATGGGTCGTGGCTGGGTCTTCCAACATGACAACGACCCGAAGCACACAGCCAGGATAACCAAGGAGTGGCTCCGTAAGAAGCATATCAAGGTTCTGGAGTGGCCTAGCCAGTCTCCAGACCTAAATCCAATAGAACATCTTTGGAGGGAGCTGAAACTCCGTGTTGCTCAGCGACAGCCCCGAAACCTGACAGATCTAGAGGAGATCTGTGTGGAGGAGTGGGCCAAAATCCCTGTTGCAGTGTGTGCAAACCTGGTCAAGAACTACAGGAAACGTTTGACCTCTGCAATTGTAAACAAAGGCTTCTGTACCAAATATTAACACTGATTTTCTCAGGTGTTCAAATACTTATGTTCAGCAGTGCAAGACAAATACATTCTTTAAAAATCATACAATGTGATTTCCTGAATTTTTTTTTTAATTCTGTCTCTCAGAGTGGGAATGCACCTACAATGTGAATTTCAGACCCCTCCATGATTTCTAAGTGGGAGAACTTGCAAAATCGCAGGGTGTTCAAATACTTCTGTTCCTCACTGTATGTCGATCTCGACATTGTGGCCTGCAGGGGTCAGGGTCTTCATTTCAAAAATCCACTTGTTTTCCATACGGGAGACCTGTCTGCATCTATTTGAACCACGCCAGTGGTGTTGTGCTACGTCTATCCCTACAAATTTGAGGGAAGACGGGTCTCTGTGGTGAAAATATCTAAAATCTTTCAATAATGAATGCTCACGAAAGCCTCTCTTGAGGTTATATATGTGATCACGAAATCGATCTCTTAATCTGTTTGTCCGGCCAATATATTGCTTCTGGCACAGGCATTCCAGAAAATATACTGCATAGCGGGTGTTGCAAGTAATAAAGGTAGGTATGTCATAAGATTTCCCCGTTGTGGATGAGGTGAATGTTTCAATTTTCTTTTTTGACATGTTGCTATGTTGGCCAATTCGACATTTCTTACACAGAAAAAAGCCCTTGAGAGGAGGGGGGTCGATCACATTAGGAGCAATTTGGTTCCTCAGTGATTGTGCCTTCTCGGGTAAGGCTTGAGAGAGGATTGGGTCAGAATTGAGCACATCTCAGTAATTAAGAAAAACTGGGATGTGCTCAAAGCTGACCCAATCCTCTCTCAAGCCTTAGCCGAGAAGCCCAAAATTGTTTTTAGGAAGGCACAATCACTGAGGAACCAAATTGCTCCTAATGTGATCGACCCCCCCTCCTCGTCCTAGCCTATTTTCTAATCTCAAGGGCTTTTTTCCATGTAAGAAATGTCAAATTTGGCAACATGTCAAAAAAGAAAATTGAAACATTCTCCTCATCCAAAACAGGGAAATCTTATGACATACCTACCTTTATTACTTGCAACACCCGCTATGCAGTATATCTTCTGGAATGCCCGAACATCAAGAGAGGCTTTCGTGAGCATTCATTATCGAAACATTTTAGATATTTTCACCACAGAGACCCGTCTTCCCTCAAATTTGTAAGGATAGATGTAGCACAACACCACTGGCGTGGTTCAAATAGATGCAAGTAGGTGTCCTGTATGGAAACCAAGTGGATTTTTGAAATGAAGACCCTGACCCCTGCAGGCCACAATGTCGAGATCGACATAAATTGTTTCATTAATAACAGCTGAAATTGTCAATGGTCAATTCTATATATTATGATGGTTTACACATTACGAACACCATTTATTCCATAAGTACCACCTCTACGATGGGTACAGCAGCCTGGTTGTACTATTCTTATGCCTAGGAATATTTATTTTATGTATTCATGTATATAATTTATGTACAATTTTTTTTATTGTGAATATTAATTTTTAAATGTAAAATTTTTTCATATTGTGGTATATATATTACTAGGACTTTCATATATCTTTAATGAGGTTTTTATACTACTGATACTATTTCTCAGATGGTTTAGTAAATTAGCATATGTCAGCATTTATTTACCTATATTGGACGCAGTTTTTACTTATGTATGTGGTATTATTCACCAGTCATTTGGGACGATGCACATATCTATATGTAAATTTTTATTAATATAACCTGCCTTCCTTATGTATGCGGTGTATAGACTGCATACAGGAGAAGTGTAGAGTTTTACTTTATATGTTCACTTGCTTTGTCGTAACTGCTTGTGCCTATGTCCGCACACAATTTTCATCACCAGTAAAATGGCGATCGCAACACTCGCGCATGCGCAGTTCTATGTGCGCCGGTCATGTCTACGATCTCCAATAATATGGCGCCCGCGAAGCTCGCACATGCGCAGTGGCGCGAAGCTCAAGCAAGATGGCGCACGCTCATTTGCGCGTGCATCTGCCTATAAATAGAATCATAAGACGTCAGGCATTTAGGAGGAGCCCTTACACGCCTTGACGTCACACCGCCGGATCAAGAAGGTCCGGCGGCCCCCACTATTTATATACTGGTCAGTGTATTCAGCAGTTTTCTTGCTGCGCTTCTGCCTATACCCACAGTCACCCTGTGCTTAGATATACTTATGTATGTACATCACCTATACTTTTTATGCTCAATAAACACTTGACTTGCTACACTCTGGGTATCCATACATTTGTTGCTCTGCATTGAGCATTTAACCCCAGCCCAGGACCCCAGGCGATCCATTTGGACCAGAGGAAGGAAGTGATAGACCAGACCTGTACTAACCACCCAACAGAGGGACCCCCTGGAGGACATCATCACTCCACCTGGCTGTACCCCTATAAGACTCCCGGCAGTTTTGGGATTCCTATATGCGCATTAAGATTGCGCTTCTGGTTAGTGGGCAGTCTTATAATTTTCTCACTGGATACCTCACTGGAGTTCATAACAGAACTGTCACAACTACCTTTAACTTATCAGCACTCTTCATACTAACTGAGGGCTTGTCAGCATATAGCTGTACACAACACATGAATTTTCATTTTTAAAGTTTTTATTGGTATTTTAGCGCTGCACTATCCTTCCTTTATTTGCTTGCTATTTGAAAGGTTTTGTGGTTCCTTTTTTGGTGCACTTAGCTGCTTATATATGCGCTCGCAAGGCCTCTATATATTTGATTCTGTGTTTTATTAAAAGAGATAGGAGTGATGTCATGTGACTTTCCGGAATCCTCCTCACCTCTCCGGTCAGGTCTGTGTTTTATTAATAGAGATGAGAGTGATGTCATGTAACCTCCCAGAATCCTCGTCACATCTCCAGTCAGGTCTGTGTTTTATTAACAGTGATGTCATGTGACCTCCCAGAATCCTCCTCACCTCTCCGGTCAGGTCTGTGTTTTATTAATGGAGATAAGAGTGATGTCATGTGACCTCCCAGAATCCTCCTCACCTCTCTGGTCAGCTCTGTGTTTTATTAATGGAGATAAGAATGATGTCGTGTGACCTCCCAGAATCCTCCTCACCTCTCCAGTCAGCAGGTAGATGATCTCCAGGGTGAGGTTCAGTATCATCTCAGTAATACATCTCGGGTCTTTATCCATCCTCAGTCAATCAGGATTTTCTCAGTATGTAAAAATGGCAATGACCCTTAAGTGAAACAAAAAAAAAAAATTAACACACGTGTCATAATAATCGATAGAGGTGTATTCCTTGTTGTCTTCTCAGCCGGGGGATTATAATTTATCATATTTTCACATGATAAGAACCATTATAGAATATTTTCCGGCCTGGGTATTCTATGCATAGTTACACTGACCCAGGTGATTGGACGAGCTGGAGTGCGTGACGTCACCGCCCGCCTCTCCACCTCATCCAGTCAGAGAAAGCTTTGCATTTTTTCTTTATTCATAAATGAGCCAAGCGGTCGACTTTCTGTGTTCAGTAAGCAGAGGTTCGGCCACTCAGCACTGGACCTGGAAGTAAGTAGCGGTGTCTACTTCAGTGGCAGCTGAACGTCCTCCACCTGAGCCAAGTAACTCGGAATTTAGCCTCTCTATTGTACAAAGCAGCAGTCAATTTTTCCATCCTCCTAATTTTGTTGATTTTGGCAAACCACTGACCAACGGAAGGGAGCGCGGTTTACTTCCACAGGTCTGGAATACATACTTGGGCCTTATACAGCAAGTGAGCAGTCGGAGAGGTCCAATAGCATGTCATAGGTAACCAATGGGGCCTGAACCTAGGTCTACAGATGTCAACTGGAGGATTAGTTTGAGAACCTTAGAAGATGTACAAAAGGGAGTTCCAGGTTGCTTTTGGCATCACTAGCAAACCTTAGGCCTTGTGGATAGTTTTGTTTAACATCACTGGAACTCAGTACTAGTGGTGCACCGAAATGAAAATTCTGGTGCCGAAACTGAAACTTCAAAATGCACTTGGCTGAAAACCGAAGCACACAGTTTTTTTAAAAATGAATATATATTTCTTGGAAAAAATACACTTTGATTTAATAGAAAAAAAAAAAAAAAACAATGTAGACCGCAATTTTTTTTTTAATATGAAAGAGGATGTTACGGCGAGTAAATAGATACCCAACACGTCACTCTTTAAAATTGCGCACGCTCGTGAAATGGCGTGAAACTGCGGTACTTAAAAATCTCCATGGGTGACGCTTAAAAAAATTCTACAGGATAGCAGTGTAACGTTACAGAGGAGGTCTACTGCGAGAATTACTGTTCTTGCTCCGACGTTCATAGCGATACCTCACGTGTGTGGTTTGAACACCGTTTACATATGTGGGTGTGGCCTACGTATGCGTTCACCACTACGTGCCAGCACGGGGGGACAGGGGCACTTTCAACTTTTTTTTAATTTATTTAATTTTTTTTGCACTGTTCCTTTAAAAAAAATTGTAATCACTTTGATTCTTATCACAAGAAATGCATACATCCCTTGTGATAGAAACAATTAGTGACAGGTCCTCTTTATGGAGAGATGTGGGGCAATGAGACCCCACATCTCTCCTCTGCAATGTAAAGCATTTGATAAAAAAAAAGCATTGATCTAGTGCTTTAAAAAAAAAATAATAATAATAATAACTGGAAGTGACATCGCTCCGGTCCTCCATGGGCATAGAGATGAGTGGAGGCCATCTTTCCTTCACTCATCTCTATGCCCAGCGCCGGGATCGCTCGATGGTTTCTCAGGTAAGGCTACCAAGTGGCATCGACGGGGTGGGCGGCGGCAAGGTTTATTTCGGCACCTGTATCAGTGCTTTTTTTAATTTCAGCCGACTGCCAAAAGGGGTGTTTTTGGCCGAAACGTTTCAGACACCAACATTTCGGTGCATCCCTACACAGTACAACCGAGAAAGTCGTTTGTACCCCTGTTCCTAAAGAGCGATTAGCAATGGAAGACGTGTCTGATAGAGGAAGAAGGTCCATCAAACTGAGCTTCTGAAAGTGTCACCTGAAGATCGGATTCTCATTTTCAGATATATGGAGGAACATCATCCTCAGCTGGAGCCCTCAGATGTTTACAGAGAAGTGATGGGTTGTGAGGAACGTGGCTTCCATATGAATATTTATCAAACGGACATAGGGATCCGGTGTAAAGTCTATGGTCAGGTATGGGGTTTAGGAAATATCTACCTTGGCAGGCTGTCCAAAAGGAGGGTGGAGCAGATTTTGTAATTTCTGCTCTTTCATCCAACCATTTCGAGTCACCAATATGGAGACAATGGGATTTACCTATTTACCTCAGGAGGTGTAAAACGTAGTGATGCACCGAAATGAAAAATTCTGGCCTGAAACCAAAAATCAAGGAGGCATTTGGCCGAAAACCGAAACAGAGTTTTTCTTTTTTATTTATATTATATATATACAGTCAGGTCCATAAATATTGGGACATCGATACAATTCTAACATTTTTGGCTCTATACACCACCACAATGGATTTGAAATGAAACGAACAAGATGTGCTTTAACTGCAGGCTGTCAGCTTTAATTTGAGGGTATTTACATCCAAATCAGGTAAACGGTGTAGGAATTACAACAGTTTGCATACGTGCCTCCCACTTGTTAAGGGACCAAAAGTAATGGGACAATTGGCTTCTCAGCTGTTCCATGGCCAGGTGTGTGTTATTCCCTCATTATCCCAATTACAGTGAGCAGATAAAAGGTCCAGAGTTCATTTCAAGTGTGCTATTTGCATTTGGAATCTGTTGCTGTTAACTCTCAAGATGAGATCCAAAGAGCTGTCACTATCAGTGAAGCAAGCCATCATTAGGCTGAAAAAACAAAACAAACCCATCAGAGAGATAGCAAAAACATTAGGAGTGGCCAAAACAACTGTTTGGAACATTCCTAAAAAGAAGGAACGCACCGGTGAGCTCAGCAACACCAAAAGACCCGGAAGACCACAGAAAACAACTGTGGTGGATGACCGAAGAATTCTTTCCCTGGTGAAGAAAACACCCTTCACAACAGTTGGCCAGATCAAGAACACTCTCCAGGAGGTAGGTGTATGTGTGTCAAAGTCACCAATCAAGAGAAGACTTCACCAGAGTGAATACAGAGGGTTCACCACAAGATGTAAACCATTGGTGAGCCTCAAAAACAGGAAGGCCAGATTAGAGGTTGCCAAACGACATCTAAAAAAGCCTTCACAGTTCTGGAACAACATCCTATGGACAGATGAGACCAAGATCAACTTGTACCAGAGTGATGGGAAGAGTATGGAGAAGGAAAGGAACTGCTCATGATCCTAAGCATACCACCTCATCAGTGAAGCATGGTGGTGGTAGTGTCATGACGTGGGCATGTATGGCTGCCAATGGAACTGGTTCTCTTGTATTTATTGATGATGTGACTGCTGACAAAAGCAGCAGGATGAATTCTGAAGTGTTTCGGGCAATATTATCTGCTCATATTCAGCCAAATGCTTCAGAACTCATTGGACGCCGCTTCACAGTGCAGATGGACAATGACCCAAAGCAGACTGCAAAAGCAACCAAAGCGTTTTTAAAGGGAAAGAAGTGGAATGTTATGCAATGGCCAAGTCAATCACCTGACCTGAATCCGATTGAGCATGCATTTCACTTGCTGAAGACAAAACTGAAGGGAAAATGCCCCAAGAACAAGCAGGAAATGAAGACAGTTGCAGTAGAGGCCTGGCAGAGCATCACCAGGGATGAAACCCAGCATCTGGTGATGTCTATGCATTCCACACTTCAGGCTGTCATTGACTGCAAAGGATTTGCAACCAAGTATTAAAAAGTGAAAGTTTGATTTATGATTATTATTCTGTCCCATTATTTTTGGTCCCTTAACAAGTGGGAGGCACATATGCAAACTGTTGTAATTCCTACACCGTTCACCTGATTTGGATGTAAATACCCTCAAATTAAAGCTGACAATCTGCAGTTAAAGCACATCTTGTTTGTTTCATTTCAAATCCATTGTGGTGGTGTATAGAGCCAAAAATGTTAGAATTGTGTCCATGTCCCAATATTTATGGACCTGACTGTGTATATATATATATATATATATATAATTGTGTTGCATTTAACTTGGGACATAAAATAAAATATATATATAAAAACATTTAAAAAAAACTTCAATAGATTCATTTTAGGGTAGTTAAAAAATCTGGAAAAAAGTGGGACTCAGCAAGCGTTTACAAACAGCACTAAAAAAGGAACCACAAACCTTCTCAATAAACAATAACATAGAAAGTGCAGCGCTAAAAGCAATAAGATTCAATATGTAAATAGTAAACGCACAACTGCAATATGGTAAATGCAGTATAAAACAAGGACGTAAATGTCACTACCAATAAATAAGATATAATAATAAAAGGTGACAACCCAAAGTTAAGAGATGACTTAAGCAATTAAATGGTTATGCCAATAAACATGCTCTGTGTAGGAAAAAACGTCCAAATAAAGTGCAAAAGTTGTTATATATCCCAAATAAGGGACTATATACCAAAAAATGGTAATAATATCAGTAGTTCAAAATGGATGTATCCAGATGAGTAACTTTACAATCCCAGTGTGAGAAGATAATACTCCGGTGACATGCGATAAATAGTAAGATTGCACACTCACCAGAAGCGCAATCTTAATCCGCATTTGTCATATAAATCAGCCAGAGGTCTCCTCTGTTGAAGGGTAGAATACAGCCTGGTGTGGAATCACCTCCTCTGTGGATCTGGGAATTTAGATGTCAATCAGAGGTCCCCTTTAAGGGTTAGCTGTGATGGGGTCTGGTCACAAATCTCCCTCCTCTGGTCTGGGATGATCACCTGGGGTCATGTAAAAAGTATCCTAACATGGATCTCCTTAAGTAGATGTAAACATTATAGTGGTAGACATGCAGCTTAAAAGCTGCTTGATACACTGACCAGCTGCTGGTGAAAGATGGCCGCCGGACCTCCGTGATCCGGCGGCGTGATGTCACGGCGTACAAGGCTCCTCCCATTTTAGCAATGAAGTTAATAGGGGATGTTTTTGCATTGAAGTCAATGGGACGCGATTCTAGTTCCTCCCTGACTCGTGATGGAAGGCACTGGCATGCCAGAGGACCTTATATAAGAATCAAAGTAGATC